CAGTGGCTGCAGGGTCTCGGCCGCTCCGGCCCAGGCCCCCTCTTGGTCTGGGGTGCGGCTTCCGCAGGCTGACTGTGCCGTGGTCCCCAGCAAACTGCAGAGCGACATGAAGACCACGAACCTGGAGGAGATGCGCATCGCCATGGAGACGTACTACGAGGAGGTGCCGCAGCCACGCTCACCCCCAGGGCGGCCGGGGGAGGGAGGGAGGGAGGGATTCCTGCGTGGCCCGGCCTCATGTGCCCACCATGGTCTCCACAGATCCACCGCCTGCAGACCCTCTTGGCAGCATCAGAACCTGCAGGGAAGAAGTACGTCTGGCTTTGGGGCCCCCGTGGTGGGGGGGTCAGTGTGGTCCTTCCAGTAGGCCCTGGCTCGGGAGCCCAGCACTGCCCGTGCGGGTGGTTCAGGGGGTGGGCTCCCACAGGGTGCCCCCCCCCCCCCCCTGCCCCACCCTCCGCCCACAGCGAGACTGGCCAAAGTCTCAGGTCCCTTGTGTAGTCACCCTTGCTGTGTGGTACCCGCCTTAGAAGCAGTACTGCAGGGGGGACGGGACATTGCTGCGCCATTGCCCCAGTGGTTCCAACACAGTCAGTGCATGTCTTCCAGCAGAGCCTGCCTCTGCCCAGTGGGTCCCAGCGCCCAGTGACCCTGCTGGACAGGCAGCACTGCCCAGGGCTGGAACTGCCAACCTGGCCACAGGCAGCCCAGCACTTGACCCCGCGTGCCACATGCACACGCAGATCTGTGGTTGTTGTCCGGTCTTGGCGCATCAATTTTGACTCCCAGGGACCCCGTGGGGTAGCATGGCCCCGCCCTGCCCCAGGCCTGAGGCTGTCGTCAGCACTGGAGCCAACCCCTCCGGGTGCTCCCAAGGAGCAGCTGGTGGGTTTGACTAGCAGCTCGGTGCTTACTGCTGCGACCCGAACCACACCCGCCATCACAGAGGTCCTGGCTCAGCAACCATGTGGTCAGGTCAGCGCTGCCCTGGGGGTTTCCGAGACCGGAACTCTTGACGGGAGTAGAAATCCCTGTTCTCCACCCGTGGGGTAACTGGGGGCTCCAGCACCCAGAGCCCCTGATGGGATGCACTTAGGAGGGGAAGAGCCCAGGTGGCCCCTGGGTCAAGCTAGCCCCAAGGCCAGTGATTGAAACCGTGGGAGAAAGAGGGGTGCCTGCTGCTCCTGGGAAACCACACCTCAGGGTCCCGGGCATTGGAACCCGCCCCGTTGTGGGCAGTGCTTGGGATTGGGCTAGCTGGCGGAGACTCGTGCCCAGGCTCCTGTGTGGCCAGCAGGCTCCCCGTGGACAAGAAGCTGGGCAGCCGGCGGCAGAAGAAGATGAGCAGCGCCCTCCTGAACCTGTCGCGCAGCGTGCAGGAGCTGACTGAGGAGAACCAGACCCTCAAGGAGGACCTGGACCGCCTGCTCAGCAACTCCCCCTCTGCCTCCAAGATCCAGGGTACCGGGCCGCGGGTGGGTGGGGGTAGGGGAGAGAGCCCAGCCACCACCCCGCCTCCAAGATCCAGGGGGCCGGGGCTGGGGGGGGTCACGTGGAGGAGAGAGTCCAGCCACCACCCCCTCTGCCTCCACAATGCAGGGTGCTGGGGGGGCTCCTGCTTGAATCTGTTGCTCCTGCAGGGTACGTGGAGTGGAGCAAGCCCAGGCTGCTGAGACGCATCACAGAGTTGGAGACGGTGAGGAGCAGCAGCACTGGTGCAGCTGGGGGGACACGGGGTCCACTCTGAACCACCACCACCACCCCCCCACCAACCCTGCGCAGCCTTGGGAGCTGTGCGCCCAGCCCTGGTCTCACACATGGAAGCCTCTGCTACATATGTGGCCCTGTAAGCGCCAGAAACTGCTGGAATCCAGTCTGGTGCACACACCCCTTGACCCCTCCGCACACGGGAGGGGTCAGTGAGAATGACCAGGCGTGACCCCTGAAAAACAACCCTTTGTCTCCCCAGAGACTCAGCATGCTGGAGAGCCCCAGGCCTCAGGCGTCGGAACTGGCAAAACCCCGGGTGGAACCCCCCCACTCCTCGGTGTCCAACCCCACGGAGCCTTGGCAGCCCCGCTGTGATGCCCACGAGGGGCCCAAGCCCCCGCGGGCCGACCCCGCGGGCCTGAAGGATGAGTGTGCAGCCTCGCGGCCCCAGCAGCTGGAGAAAGAGTAGGTTCTGCCCACCGCCCACCCAGGTCCTGGCGGGGTCAGCTCGTGAAACCCCACGGCCATGTGGCTGGATGTGAGCGGGCAGGACACCTGCTGCTCAGCCCCAGTCCCTGTGTTCAAGGATCTGGGGTCATCACCACCGGCTGTTGCCCATGCCAGTTGTGTAACCCCCACCCCAGGGCCTCTTCATCCCCAAACCCTGACTGGATGGGCGGCTCCTCTCCCCCACTCGCAGTCTCCCACCTGTTGTTCCTGAGGACAGGCCTGCACCCCCGGCGCACTGTGGTCACTCGCCCACCAGCCCCCTCAGGGGGGCGGCTGCTCGGTGCTGGTTCCCACGCAGCCACGTGG